ATAGTATAGATAAAATAATATTGGCCACGAGTTGATAAATGTTAGAGTAAGGAGAGCTTTACTTTTGTAGGTGTTTGAAATTTTCTCTAATGAAAAATGTTTAAATAATTATGTTTAAAATGTTCAAAGAGATAAGCGAAGACATCTATAAATCTATAGATTTGAAACCTACAGATCTGGAAATATATATAGATTTAAGACTCTGTAGATCTAAGAATCTACAAAAAGGACAGAAAAATTTTAATGCAAAAATGAAAAAAAAATGGGTGGCCACAAAAAAGAACCAATTAAAAATCTTGGAAAGGAAAAATGTAATAATAGAAAATTCTAAAAACTTAATAGACTGAACAAGAAAAAGCATAAAATTAGAAATTTGGAAAATAGTTCAGAGGGATTCACCAAGAACACAATACATAAATAAACAAATATTTTTTAAGTGGAAGTGCATTCTGGGGATAAGGAAGATGTATTGAAGGGCTCCAAAACAAATGTATTTCAAATAATGTATTTCAAATAATCGTATAATCTCATTGAGTAACAAGATTATTTCATAAAAGTCAAGAATGTTCAGGATCATTCCAAATTTTGAGGGTGCATTACAGAGGGCAATTAGTCCAACCTCTCATAAAATATCTACAACTCTCAGAAAAGAAAAAAGGGACATTCTTTAATGGATCATTGATAAGAACGTATACACTTATGTACCTCAATATCATCCTTATTTTTAAGGAGTGGTGCTTCCATGATATTTCTAAGGCAAAAAGAATCAGATTCCACATCAAATGGGGTTCCAGTTAATTCGGAGATTCTATCCCAGTGCCTCTGTTTCATGGCCTTATTGGTCATCATTTCCAGTAGAGGACATGACTCACTGAAATCATCAATTCTCTTTCTGAGATCCAAAAAAGCTTGCCAGTCTTTAAGTCCTTTTGGAAGTTTACGACATCTTTCAGAAAGAAAGAGAAAAAAAATGCCACCTTCACATTTATTTGAAGAAGGTTTTATGTATATACAGTAGTATATTAGGGAATAAATTAGCTTCTGAAATACCTATAGGATCCTAAGAAGACAGGCATTATAAAAAATTCCATTGAGACTCACCTGTTTTGAAATTCCAGCAGTTCTGCATTAATTTTTTCAATATCTACATCTCCCCAAAGTATTTCATAATAACCACTAATACTGCTCATTACAGTGTCATACAATCCATACAGCTTCTGCAGCAAGTTGAGTTCTTTTCTGGGAAACAAAGTAATTAAGTTATCTCATCATGTATAGTATTTAATAAATTCTATTATTGGAAAGGCAGAGTTCATCCAATCAAATATTTCATACATTGTGTGTATGGTGTCTTATAGCTACCAAATGCATACAACTATATCCGTTTTCAATACAAGGACTTTGTTAAAGATCTGTTATTAAGGTCAAGTTTACAGCTCCCAAATATTCCAGATCATACTATAACTTGACATTAGCAAATGGTTCATTTTGTAAAGAAAAAACCTTGCTATTTTTTAATGAGAAACTTACTACACCAATCATTGCAAACAATTGACCAAAACTTAATGATAAGGTCATAGCTGTGGCTAAGGTTTCATTTGACTTTTTTTCTTTCAAATACAAGCTGGATTTTATGAGAACGTTTCCCCCGACTAAGTCCTGGTCTGCCTTTAAGACTGAGCTTAAACATCCCATTCCTACCAGAAGTTTTCCCTCATGTGGCCAGGTGTGGTGGCATGTGACTGTAGTCCCAGTTACTTGGGAGGGTGATGTGAAAGGACTGCTTGAGCCCAGGAGTTCAAGGCTGCAGTGAACTATGATTGCACCACTGCGCTCCAGCCTGAGCAACAGAATAAGACCCTATCCAAAACAAACAAACAACAAAATCCCACATGTGCCCAGATGAAGTTTCTGTATTTAAAACAAGAATAAAAGGTCCGAGTAAAGGAAAATTCTTAAATGGGTAAAACACCAAATTGACCACTTAAGAGAATTTGTGGATTCTCCCAGAAATTCCTCAGCCCTTAGTATACCATAAAGTTCTACTGGATTCAATTTTAGTTTTCAAGTTTATTCATAAGGATTGACATTCACAACTTTTATTCTTCATTAGAGATACTTCAAAAACCAAAAATAAATTTTTTAATGAAGTAAAGTCATTCTATTATTTTATTTTATTTTTGAGAGAGAATCTCGCTCCGTTGCCCAGGCTGGAGTGCAGTGGCACGATCTCGGCTCACCGTGATCTCTACCTCCTGAGTTCAAGCGATTCTCCTGCCTCAGCCTCCCGAGTAGCTGAGATTACAGGCAGGTGCCACCACACCCAGCTAATTTTTGTATTTTTAGTAGAGACAGGGTTTCGTGATGTTAGCCAAGCTGGTCTTG